ATATATATATATATATATATTCAGGATAACCGGAGTGCAGACTTTCACTGTGATTAGCGTGAATAATCCTGTTGACGGTCAGGCTCGATAATGGAAGTAACACGACATGCATGTACTAACAAATGTGAAAAGTCTGCAGGCCGCATTTTATTCCTGCAGTCTGCAGTGTGCGTTTTACACTGACCGTGTCCCTTACATTTAAAAATTATTTATGATAACATTTATACACAATTGACTATGAATATTGAATTACGCAGAGGTTATTTTCGAGTTCCAGGATCTTAAAACTAAATTGCAAAAACCTTGCCTTTCATTTAGAGCGAGGGCTCGCTAAAGATTACGACAAGCGCTTTGGTCAAGGTTATCGCGTTCTTAGTCAGTAAAGTAGAGGTCGTTTTGGACTTAGAAGGGCTTGATACTGAGTTATGGAGACATTGATTTTGACCGACATAGGTTTGATTCTGAATAACGCAGTGGTTATGTTTGAGTTCTAGGAGCTTGGAACTAAATTGCATGACCTTGCTTTTATTTCTACGGTTAGGCCTACGTTCCAAATTAATACGTCACGAAAACGGAGCTTTTCGAAAACGCTCTTCAAACCGGAGGAATTTGAAAACGGAGCTTTTTGAAAATAATAACCTCACGATCATCATGTAATTTCCCTGCCCAGCGTACGCGTACTGTGGATGGAAAACATTTGATGCGCTTTTACAGTGAAACCTCCGTTTTCAAATTTCTCCGGCGTAGTGTGGACGCAGCCTAAGACAGGAGATACCATGAGCCAGTTGGACGGCCGCCCCCCCCCCTTCCCCCCTCTTCCTCCCCTAGTTTCGAAGACCCAGACGAACAAAGACTTCTAAAAAGAGCCGTTTTGAACAGTTTTGAATGGTCATTTTCAATTTTTGTTGCAAATATCTTGTTTTCTTAAAGTTTTCGTATAAGATGTTTCTGCAGTATGCCCACTAATGTTTACCATCGCCAGTTCAGCTTCGCCTCTCATCCTCTGGGCCAAAACAACACTGTTAGGAAAGTGCGTTTTATTTTGAAAATATTTTTCACTTATTGACTGAGTGGGAGGGCCGGCCGGGAAAATGTTTGGCTCGGTTACTGAGGGTCTTGAAGCGATTTGGCTACAAGTCAAAACTTCTAGCACCCTGGCCCTATTCTCTGTCATCTACAGACCACCTGATGACAACCTTTTCTTCGAACGCATCATCACGCCACTTGAAAAAGCCTGGTTGAGATCCGATCCAAACAACATTCTGCACCAAAATACAATCAAACTGCGTTCTATCTTTGAGACGTTTAATATGCATAACATGATTCAGGAGGCCACAAGA